CAAGTTTCTGTTATGGAAATAGTGGTAACAGGTATACAGCAATGTAAATTAAACTTGATGAAATTGAACTGTATACTTTTAAATTATTAAAATATTATTTTAGCTCACAAAAACACCAATAGCAAATGACTAACTAGTCTTCTTAATTCTCCATTTTTAGTGTATCACAGATAAAAAAAATTTCAACCTTAAACTGAATCTGAATAATCTTTTCTGGTTGAACATAAAGACAGTGCTGACTTAAAAACATAGAGAAGGCAAAGGTATATAAATTTAGAATCAAATCAGAAGGAAAAGAACTGCAGAACTAGCATTTGTTGCAAAAGCAGCAGTTGGAAATAAGAGGGAAAAAAATACATAAAGTCCACAGATGGCCTTTAGAACCCTGTGGGCTGTTTCATTATATAAGCTCACTCAGGCTAATTGAAAGTTTGCAACAGCTACTAGACTGTTCTGCAATTCAATTCTACTGGCAAGATAATTGGCAGTAATGTTGAGATAGAAAGACACAGGCTAGCTCTTTCCAGAAGAAAATATGCTGTAAAAATTCTATAGAAACAAAGCAAGCACCAAAAAAGCTTTGAGGGGAGCAGCTTTTCTTAAAAAATAAACTATCTAGGTTCCTTTTTCTAAAAAAGATTTATTTATTCATACAGAACTGGGGTACAGGCCAGAGATGTGGAGGGTGAGAAGATTCACCAGAGACAGAGTGGGGAACAGAACAGGCAGATCTATGAAGTACACTGCTGAGGGGAGCAGCAGGCGGGTCAGGAGAGATCTGCCATGCCATGTGGTTTCCTCGGGGCAGGCAGGGATCGAACTCATGAGGAAGTAACTTAAGCTTCTTAGTGCTGTGCTTTAACCTGCTGCGCCACCAGGGAGGGCCTTTTTTTAAATGCATACAAAAACTGGGGTTTAGGCCAGAGAAATGGAGGTTAAGAAGATTCACCAGAGACAGAATGGGAATCAGAACAGGCAGATCTATTGAAACATGCTGCTGAGGGGAGCAGTGGGAGAAACAGGAGAGGTCTGCTGCACTATGTAGGTCACCTCCCGAGCCAGGGATCAAACTCAGGTCACAGTGCCTGGTGATAGCTTGATAGCGCTGAGACCTAACTCCTTGTACCACCAAGCAGGCCCTATTCAGGTTCTCTAAAAAAAATTCCTTCAGCAATACCAACAATAAAAACACATATATGTCATATATGAACTTCATTCCCCCAAGCAACATACATCTTACTTAAACAATAACACTGGAAAATAAGTTTCTATTCTTGTCATAAGAACCTATTTCACATTTCAGAACTGACTACCCAATCTTAAATACTTTATTTTTTTAAACTAAGATTTATTTATTTTATTCATACAGAACTGGGGTATAGGGCGGAGGTGCAGGGTGGTGAGAGGATTCACCAGAGACAGAGTGGGAAACAAAACAGGCAGATCAATGAAGTACACTGCTGAGAGGAATAGCAAGCAGGTCAGGAGAAGTCTGCTGCGCCATGTGGGTCCCCTTCAGGGCCAGGGATCCAACTTGCATTGAAGCAGCTGCAGTTAGCTTGCAGTGCTGTATCCTAACCTACTGTACCACCAGAGAGTGCCCCCAATCTTAAACACTTTAAACACAAATATGTAGATGTGTTTACATCACAAACTATGGGACCCATTTGAAACTGAGTAAGAAGTTTGTTATAAAAGTCAGTTTTGGACCATGACCTACAATTTCCCTCAAATTCTATACTACCCCAACCCAACATATCTTTTTACCTTAATGTTATCACTCCGCTCAGCCCCCTTTAAAGTTCACTCATACTGGAATTCATGCCTTTCCTGAAATGTCAGGCATGCTCACATTACAGCTTTTTTGTTAATAGCTGCTCCCTGTAAGACTTTCCCCAAGTATCTACATAATCTCTTATTCTCTAGTCATGACTCAAATTTCATTTTCTCAATTAGGCCTATACTAGGTCCCTACTTAAGGTAATGCTGTCTCTACATCCTACCCAGACTTGCTTCCACCATTCCTTTACCTTGCTCTACCTTTTCCTTTTATCCACAGCATATACTACTATCTAGCTTACTATGTACAGTACTTATGTTTCTCATTTACTGTTTTGTCTGAAATGTAAGTGAAACTGGAAAGGAGACTGCCTTGCTCACTGTGAATCCCAAGCATCCCAAGAACTGTATGCTCTGTAATCATTTAATAAAAATGTAGGGCCCTTCCTGGTGACACAAGCGGTTAAAGCACAGCTCTATGAAGCACTATCCACAACCACTACAGCATGAGTTTCAACTCAGACCAGGGAAGTGACATAAGAGGCCTCTCCTGTCTCATGCACTACTACCCCTCAGCAGTGTATCTCAGTGGCTCTGCCTGTTCTGCTGCCCAGTCTGTCTCTGGTGAATCCTTTCACTTTCTCGCACCTCTGGTCTACACCCGAGTCCTTGTATGCTTAGATAAATAAATCTTTTAAAAAAAAAAATGTGTTGAATAAATGAATGGCAGAGCTCTTAAATACACCTAGTTGGCATAAATTAAAATTTAAATAGGTGAGAAAACTAGAACTACACACAATGATTTACAAAACTTATAAATACATTTCTTATAAAAGTTCTTCTGGACCTCTAAAGCCACTTATTTTGTGCTATTGCTTATATTAATACAAAGTAACATTATCATATTATTTTGGAAAGTAGTGGTTGCCTGGGACTTGAACAAAGGGTGGCTAGAGTCTAGAAAACAGTCTTGTTGGGGCATGCCCTTTGACTAGTGGTGTCTGTGCTAACTCTGGAAGGTTAACGCAGAACTGTATTGCAGCACACTAGTTGGTGACAAATAATGACCAATGGGGAAGAAATAACAGTGAGTGACTTCTAAGGTAATGTCACAGCTGGGGATGTGGCTTCTGCCTTGTTCTCTGGATTGTTTGTTCTAGGAAAGACAGCTATATCATGGTACTTTGTGGTTGTGGGAAGAGGCTTACACTGGAAGGAACTGAGGCATCCCACCAGCTACACAGATTGCTAATCATTTGAATGAGCTATCAAGGAACTGGCCCTGATGACTGCCTACTGCAGTCACTATCTTGACTGCAACCATAACAAATACCCCAAGCCAAAATCCTCCAGGTTACCGGCTCTCTAATTTCTGACTCACATAAACTATGAGGAAATAATGTTTGCTGTTGTTTTAATCCACTAAATTTGGGACAATTTGCTATGCACCCATCAATAACTAATACACTTTTCTCCCACTAAGGGCAGAAAGAATGATATATAATGGGAGTTAACTGCTCCCACTCAGAACACTCTTCATAAAACGCTATCAATATCTCATTTTAGTTTTTGAATGTTTTGTTAAAGTACTGAGATTGTTGGGATTGTTCCCAGACACAGACAGTCTATACTAATATAAAATCACTTCCCATGCAACAATTTATCAAATGTTTATTGAGTCTTCCTTTCTCTGAAAAAACTTATTTACTTGAATAGGTAACAATTACAGTGATGATGGGAAACAATAAAACAGGATATACAATGTTTTTTTTAGAAATAATCTATAACTATATAAAATGTCTAGATTTTCTCCTTACAGATGAAAATATACTACATACCTGTTGTACACCTTACTTTTCCCCTTTAATGTATCCATACATTAAAGATCATTCTAGCATCTATATTATTTGTCATTTCACTACAGATGGATATTTAGATTGCTATCAATAGTATGCTTTCTCAATGTCAAGTTTCTTCTATTGTCTTCCTGGACTTAAGGTCCTAAATGTGTAGTCTCTGATTGATAGAAATATTAAGACTATGACCTTAAAAATATTTTGTCCGGGTCCTCCCTGGTGGCGCAGTGGTTTAAAGCAAAGCACTAAGAAGCTAAAGCCACTTCCGCATTAGTTCGATCCTCACCTGCCTGGGAGGAAATCCACATGGCACGGCAGACCTCTCCTGACCCACCCGCTGCTCCCCTCAGCAGTGTACTTCGTCGATCTGCTTGTTCTGTTCCCGTCTCTGGTGAATCCTCTCACCCTCCACATCTCTGGCCTGTACCCCAGTTCTGTATGAATAAATAAATAAATCTTTAAAAAAAAAAAAATTTTGTCCTCCCCCCCAAAAAAGATTTTTGTTCCATCAGTTTTTATTCTATTTAATACTGAAACACATCCAGCAGGAGTTTTCTCACATTTTCCAGTTGTAAAGTAACATAAAACTTACCATCTTAACTCTTTTTAGCGTATATAGTTCAATGGTACTAAGTACATTCATACTGTCATTTAACCATCACCACCATCTTTTCATACTGTAAAACTGAAACTGTGTTCCCATTAAATAATAACTCCCAAATTCCCCCCACAATTGACTCTGGCAACTACCATTCTACTTTCTTTCTCAATAATTTTGACTACTACCTTACCTAAGTGGTATGCAAAATTGTAATCCTTAAAGCAGTTGTATACTGAATGATTTTCATATAATACAATCAGAATATATGATTAAATTGGTGTTAAGGGTTGAACTGTGTCCTCTCCAAATTCAAACTACTGAAGTCTTACCTCTGCGTACCTCAAAACATAACCTTACTTGGAAATACAATCATTGCAGAGGTTAATTGGTTAGGATGAGACCATACTGGATTTGAGTGGTCCCTAATCTTTATCCGACCAGTGTCCTTATAAAAGGGAGAAATTAAAACACAGACACACACAGTCATGTGGCTGACTAGTTATGTTATCATAAGCCAAGGAAAAGCTATATCATGGTACTTTGTGGTTGTGGGAAGAGGCTTACACTGGAAGGAACTGAGGCATCCCACCAGCTACACAGATTGCTAATCATTTGAAT